GCCCCGGGGGTGGCTCTGGCCGGAGGCTGGCACTGCCCTTCAGCCAGCGCCGGCTGCGGGCTCCCGCATGTGTGCGCACATGTGCTTGCTGCGAAACTTGTGGCTCTCGCTTCTCTCCCGGAGAGTGACATTTGCCTGCAGCCCTTCCTGCTGACAGTCACCCATCAGGTTTTGGCTACAGAAGAGCAAGGAGATGGCCGTGGCGTGGGGTGAGCCCGGCACTGCCAGCAACCTTGCACCAGGGACTCCCCCCTGGGGTGCCTGCAGTCCCTTGGCACTGAAATGTGTGTGTACAGGTAACAGCCACGCCCTGGTAAAGCACGGTGAATGCAAGTGCTGTCGTTAGAGATCTCTCTCATAAGGCCTCCTTACAGACAGCAAATCATGGGATCTGCTTCGTCCTTACCCCCTCCAAGGCAGTTCAGAGCATTTCCCTCTTCTGCACCATGTGTTTGGCCCCCAGCTTCTCCCCTGCTTGCAGCCATCGCCCTCTCAATCAGGAGGGTATGATCAGACTCTCTGCAGGCGGGCGATGCCAGTCGCTGCCATGTTCATGGCTGATGGCTCTGGTTTCTTTGTCCTTGGGGTTCCCCAGCCTTCCCCTGGCCAGTGCGGGAGCGCAGCTTCTGCTGATTGCTGCTGGAACGGGCAAAGCTTTCCACGTGCCCCAGCACAACATGCGTGTGTGCACACCAGGGGGGATCGTCAGGCGTCTGCTGAAATACCCTGCTTCCTTGCAGCCCTCTCTGCGAAGCTGCCTGGGGTGGGGGGGAGGGAGCCTGCAGCACACTGCCAACGCTCCCCTTGACCCCGATGAGAACGAAGCTGTCGAGGAACAACCGCTCCCTTTGTTGTGCCTCTTCTGAACCGCCATTCAACCAGGGAAACAATGCTTAAACTGTGCTCAGTTTGCTTTGTAACTTCTTCCCTGCCACACGGTGCTCACAGCAAAATCCGGGGGTCTGTGCGAGGGGATGCAGGCAGGTGGGCGAGCTGGGCAGGACACTGCATACCACTGTCATGCTCAGAAACTCTCGGTGACCACATCCCAGGGAAGAGAAATCAGGGTAACGTGCGCTGAGCTGCTTTGCGGGAGAGAATTACGTCCAGCGTTTGTCAGTGCGATTCGCCATCCGAGGATCCCCGCGGATCCACCGCAGCTCCTGGCGTCTTGGATGTCAGCCGTGGCACGGAAAATCCTCTTTCATCGCTGGTGTCCGATTCCAGATGAAAGGCAGCCGCTTCCGCCGCTCCCTGCTCTTGCCGAGTCACTCGCCTTTCAGTCGCATCCTATTACTGCAGGCATGGGATAATTTGTACCAAAGTGCAGGATCAAAAGAAATGGTTTAAAAATAGCTAATTCTATAGCCCTTCCTTTGTGTCCAGCACAGCCTCACCTGCCCATGCCTCGCCGCCTGTCACTGATGGCAGTGGTACCTGCCGCATCTTTGCGTGCCGCCTGCTCTGGGAGACAGCCCTGCCCGACCATGAATCCCAAATCCTTTCCCTGACGTCGCCGGGACATTGCCATTGATTTGGATGACCAGCGTGGTGACGAGGCAGATTGCCCAGCCCTTTCTATTCATCTACTCATCTTCCACACGTGCCTGGGCGTCGGAGCCCAAAGGCAGGGGATTAGCATAGTCGCAAAGCCAACTTGGCTTTTGCGTAGGAAATTAATGTCTTTGGCATGGAAGCAGGACTGTTTTTCTCGGGCCAAGCTCTCCTATGGAGGTGGGGGCACCAGCTACAACCAGCGTGTGCTTCGGGCCCCAGAACTGGCTTAAAAATAGGCCAGAGCATGCTGAGTCCTCGCGGCTTTGCAGCCGGTGGGTAACCCTGAGGCTGGCCCCTGTTTGCAAAATGTATTTGTCGCATACAGTCAAAGCAGGAGCCCGCCTGTAGGAAAGGCAGCCTGTTTGTGGGCTGCGCTGGAGAAAAAGTACTGCATTTTCCCCAAAATTGTTTATAGCGTGCCCAGCACTAGTGACAAAACATGATATCCCAGAAGGTTTTATTTTTGCAGCGATGTATATTTTATGCTCAGGCCCACGGACATGACTTGTTTGTTCACAGTCCAGCCTGGTTTTAATCACTTTGAATTAAGTAACTGATCTTATTAGTGATCCGACTATGAGAGGGCTTATCACAGGTTCCTTGGCACATGATGAAGATTACTCCGTCAGTGCGACCACGTCTGAGTAATGTGATGTGTCCTGGAGCTATTTTTTTCTTCACCCTCCTCCAGGACCTTGATCCTTTGGTTTCTCCAGCCTGTGACCAACTAAAACCCACTTAATGCTACTGAAACCCAGACATGTAATGGGACAAAGGGAAAAGCTCTGCCATTTCTTGTAGCAGACGTCATTTGTTTCCTGAGGTTTTCATTAAATTGAGGGCAGGATAATATTCACTTAATGGACATGATTGTGGGTATAATTAAAAGCAATACGGAAATAGGCAGTATCAGCGAGCACGTTGAACACAGTTAATGTTTAGTGCTGGTTTTTGAGTATGAGATAAAAGATGGGCAAATAGTGCATTGCTCATTTTTTAAAAGGGATGAAAGATACAGGTTTTACTCCAGTCCTTGCAAGGACTTTGTGCGCAGGTTCGACTCTGAACATTTACCGGTCTCCTCTCTTGAAAGCAGGCTTGGGAGCAAAGGTCAGCAGAGTTTGGACAACAGCCCCAGACCCGTGGTGGGCTGGAGCAGCAGAGCTGCTGCTTTGCTTTAAGCCTCTGGCCCTGGGGTGTTTGTTAACAAGTTGGATAGAAATGCCTAATGTCCCATTTAGCTAAAATCAAACATCTTCAGAGAGATGTAATGAGTGAGGGGAGTCAGGGGTTTGCACCAGAGGCACTGGAGGACTGGAATATACATGCTGTATGTCCGCCTCCCACTGTGGCTGCATTATTGACCTCCAGTTTAATCTCGCTGTGCCACCAGCATCCCATCTGCAGAATGGGTGCAGTAATGCCACTTCAACCATCCTGTTTTAGCCGGTGACCTCTTTAGGTCAGGGATAATATGCAAATATATTGGTTTGGTCCTTGGGGTCCTGGCCCTGCGTGGGGACCCCTCTGCTCTGCTGTCCTTAGACAGGGGACAGAGGCTGGTCACCCAGTGCTGGCCTGCAGGGAGACAGGAAGGCAGAGCTGTCGCAGTCACTAGACAGGACTTGTTCTCCTTTGGTGAGGACACGCCAGGTGAAGAGGTGGATGGCACCTCTGTTTAACTTTGATGAATAATAGCTGTTGCTGACACCTCGTGGAAGCCTTAGATAAACATTTTCTCCAGAAACCTTTCTGTTTCATTTCCTCTGCTGCTGCTGGTTCCCCACCTGATGAGCTCATCCTTATTTATATCATCTCCGGAGCACCCAGCCGTGAAGCAGGCGGTAGGGCCCTTGGCTGCCTGCGGGACCGGGGATGGGAGGGCAGCCGAGGAAGGCTGCCCGGGGACTGTCCTTTCCCTCCCCGAGAAGGAGGGCACATCTCCTCCTTGCATGGTGGTGAGGGCAACTCACCATGGATGTGTATTGCACATCAGATGTGAAGAGGAAAGCATCCCCCTCCTCTACCCATCTCTG